TAAAAAAAATAAAAAATAATAAAATGATAACAATAATACAATCACAGTCACAATAATAATGCTATTAATAATAATAATAATAATATTTCAGCTAGATGCATGGCTAATATTCGTATAGATTTCCAATGGTATTTTGATAGTGCAGGCCTAACGGTCTTAGGAAAAATACTTATGTCACGAGATTTTTAATGGGTGATGGTAACTTGACTTTCTGTACCTTTCTTTGTTACCCAGCGGAACTTGAGTCCTTTACTTCCTATTGATGTCATAATTCAAGCAAACAAAGCATGCTGTGTGTCCCAAAACTCGAATGAATTTGCCCAGTAGAAGCAATGTTGTTTAGTTCGTCAAATAAAAGGAACGGAGTTGTTGAATAGGATTATGAAGGGACAAAAAGAAGTAATATGCGGTTGTTGTTTTTTGGATGAGTAAGGTGCTTAGTCGTTAGGTTTTTATTGCATTTTCTTTTTCAATTACATTTTGAATTTTTTTTTTTATGAGATGGGTTTGTTTTGTTTTGGTTTTTTTGTTTTTTTTTGGGGGGGGGAGAAGGTGAACTATAGTGGCTTGTGTGAGGCATACTTTTTGTTGTTGCTTTGATTGACTGTTATAAAAATGTTTACAAGTTGACTGTGTATCGTTCTTTTTTTTGATAAGTGTTTTACGGCGCTCGCAACTGCATAAGGTCACATGAGCGCGCGGGACACATTAAACTTTTTCAGTTGGTAGGAATGTTTGAATTTTGCTCGGGTGGCGTCAAAGCCTACTCTTATCGATTTTAGACCACCAAGAGTTCTTTAGCGTGCGCAACTTGCACACGGGACCTCCGAGATTTTTCGCCCTTGTCCGAGAAGATCAGGGGTGTGGCTGAAGGACAGCAGTAAGAAGGAGCCAATGATTAGCAGTAGAAAAGCTGCAGAAAGAGTCAGGAGCCCAGAGGAGGGGGCAAAGGAGGTGTATCGTTCATACATTAAGTTGCTTTTGATAGAATACCGTTACAATAAGTGGCATTCCCTCTCCTTGTTCCTTTTCTCCTTCTCTTTCTACTCCTTCCCCTCCTCTCTCTCCTTTTCTTTTACTCTTTCTTCCCTGTAATGCCATTATCACCGTTATCAATACCCGTATCGTTGTCACTATCCTTATCTTCCTTGTCGTTATCACCATTCGAAGTCTCAAAGAACATTCTCCGGTAGCGTTTTGTTAAAATTCTAAACCATTCCCACCCTGCTCCTTCATATCCTCACTTCCGGTGGCGATAATTGTTAGCTAACTCTTTCTAATACCCACAGACGGAAACCACCACAGAGTTCTCCCGGTGAAGCACCTAAAAAGATTCCCTGATACAAAATTCCAGAGGTTGGCATCAATTCACGGCCATTTGTTAGATGAGAAACTTTGAAGGACACGTACTCAAGGCATATTTGCTTAAACTCTAAACCCCAGCATCGATTTCTGATTGTTATCCCTATGACAAAACCGCCGTGAACTCGGAAAGACAGACGGGAGCGACAACTTAAATATGGCCGCCAATAGCGTCCGCCTGGCATGCGCTTTGACTTGGTCGTGCCCGAAATGATCTTTCGATTTTTTTGTGCTCGCTCGAAACAAGTCCTCGTGAAATGTGCAATTTCCGCTGTTCGCGCTCACGCGTGGAGTAGACAGGACACCGCTACTCGACTAAGCCATTAAGGGTGTGGGGTGGAGGCTCAAGAGGAAAGGAAAGGTCTCTGGGAAGGTGAGACTGGCGTGTCTTGGCGGAAAGGCAAGGAGGGGGAGGAGGAAAGGATCAGAAAAAAAAGCTGCTGAAAAAGAGAGGATAATGAAAAGAAAAAGAAGGGAATGGGAAGCAGAGAGGCTGGGAGACGGAAGCTACTGTGGTGTTTCGAGGTGCAACATGCCCCAGGGAGAAGAGAGGAAGTCACAAAATCTTGTCCTATAAATAGGAATATGTGAAAACTGATTGGTTTGGGTTGGTTTGGCTGTGCTTCGGCTCATATGATATTGTGAGAAACAATAAGACAACAAAAGTGAGAGCAGATTTTATTTTAAATATACATTTCCCCTTAATGTTTGCTTGCACTGAAAAGATAATGGGAGAAATGCTATCATAATAGGGAAAGATCTTATTATGTTTATGCATTTATGCATTATCATGAGTGGTCGGCGGGTCTCTGGTGTGGTTTGCTCCTCCTTTTTTCCTATCAAACATGTATCGCCCTTATCTGTCCATCTTTTCTTCGTATGATACTCTCTAGCAGTTACACCCCTTTGTCTTTGATAGTTATGTGACCTGTTTGTATTGCAATCGCCGTAAAACTCTAAAACTATAAATGTATATGTTGAATATACATACAGTTTGCTAACTTCTCATAAAATATGCTGGTGGATACCCACTAATACAATAATGGGAGGAGAGAAAAGATTATGTTGGTAAGAACATAACTCTTCAAATACATTTGAAAAAACTATAATATAACGTTTAATTTATCTTTCAGAACATATTAGATTAAGCTAAATTAAATCCTTTATAAAACACGCAAACTCATTGCGTAAGTTGAAACTTAAAATACAGAAAAAAAGTTTTTTACATTTTTTATAATATGGATTAAGGTGTTACTCCGAAGAGGTAGATAAAATTCACGATAAATAACATCTGAGAACATGCGCGCTGTCGCTAAAAATACTTTATAAACACAAACACACTCAAACAAACACATTTACATACAAACAAACAAATACATACAGACAGACAAACATACTGGCAAACACACTCTCGCACATTCTAACAAAGACAACACATACAACGCGCACAGTCACACAAAAGCATTCATACACTCACAAACACCCCCCCCCCACACACACACACACATACACACATACACACACGCACATACACAAACACACTGTGGTGTAGCTGTTAGATGCATTGCTGTTACACACTAAATACAGGAATTTAATTCCCGTGTAGGGAGAATCTTTAAAGATTATCTGTTTTTCTGCTGGGTCGTTGTAACCCTCTCAGGACGGATTGGCCTTGATAAGTAAGGTCAAAGCCAACGCATGCTGTTTAGAATAGGCTTTGGTCAAATCCCATATTTTAAATAATCTAAACAGTGTCGTTGAGTTTTAGTAAAAGTTTTACGGCACTTTCAACACAATAAGGTCGTATAAGTGCAGAAGATTAGAGGTGTTACAAGAGAGTAACAAACATGAAAAAGGAGAAGAGATAAGGACGGTAGATGTTTGATAGGGAAGAAGAAGCAAACCACACCAGAGCACCCGCCAACAGTGTCGGAAGGAACGTGAAACAATACAACAAATAAATAAATTAAACAACTGACCTTGTGCGGGCCTCCAGGCAGAGCTGGCCATGCCGGGGTCAAAGGCCGACTTGCTGATGCCAGAGAAGCCAGGAGAGTAGGCTGAAAGGAGAGAGGGAACAATGGATTGTTCTATTTTAGATGGTAGAAGAAGAAGAAGAAAAAGAAGAAGAAGAAGAAGAAGAAGAAGAAGAAGAAGAAGAAAGAAGAAGAAGAAGAAGAAGAAGAAGAAGAAGAAGAAGA